GAATTATCGGAATAATTATTAGGAGCATTATTTGATTGTTAGAATTGATAATCAAATAATAGTCAATTTAGTCAAGAGAAATTAATATTGGATTTAATGTTGATTTTAGTAGAATGTTATTTTATTAGTTGGGTCAAGTGGGGTGTGTGAAATAGCAAGATTAGGAATAGAATTAATAGGCCCATTAAAGTTACTAGTAGACCTATTATTATATTAGGTTATAATATATAGAGGTTAGCAACCAAAAGCAAAACAATTATCACGTAGCAGTAGAAGAAGCAAGGGTTTGGAAGCACCAAGTGGGAGGCAAGCAAATTTAGAGAACTTGCCGTCAAACCAGTTGCAGTTTCAACCAGAGAATTCGACCGACCAAAAAACCAAAAGGTAAGGTTGGGGTTCGGATTTTATAACCTGGAATATGATGGTTAGTATGTAAGGGTGGGGTTCTGGCTTTATAATTGGGTTCATGATGTTTGATATATGGGGTTAGATGTAATTGTTGTTTTTGTTATTGAATTGAATGATGTATGATGAAGATTGATGAATTCTTGATGAATAATGACGTTATGATATTATTTGATCGATCTAGTAAAAGAGTATAATGTTAGGTGATGATTTAGTATGTTTATAATGAGGTTTGTAGGATTGTAATTAGATTCCCGTAGTGAAATTACAGAAGAAACACAGAAAATTATGCAGAAAATCGCAGGATGCGTCGACCTCAAACTGGATGAGTCGATGCAAGGAGGTTGTAAGACTCAGGATGAGTCGATGCATGGAGGGTTTGTGTCGATACATGTTCGATGTTGGACTCAGGATGAGTCAACCGGTGCGATGCATGTGTCGATATATGCTACGTTTTGAAGTCAGGATGAGTCAATCGGTAAGTGCATGTGTTGATACATGCTGTGATTTGAAGCAGAATGAGTCGATCCATAAGGAGGATGCGTCGACTCATAGTGAGTAGATGAAGCAGGATGTGTCGATCCAAGGAGTTTTGTGTCGATACATAATGTATAATTTTGACATAATCAGTTTTTAAATTGCTGTAACTTGAGTTGTAGGATGTTGTTTGAGATGCCGTTCGAAGCATTGATTTACTAACGCGACGAACTCTAATATAGATGATTTAGATGATGAATAAGAAGTGTAATCCCATTAACTAATTTAGGATTTAGGATTGATTCCCATAGATGACAGTTATGCTGGATTTTGGACAGAATGATAAATATGAGATGCTAGAGATTGTTGTTAGAAATATGACAGTAGGATTAGTGACAATAATAATGTACAGTAGCATAATAACAGTATGGCTTACTGTATTATTAATACACAATTGAGTTATTAATAAGATGTGGTCATTAAAGTTGTGTTTGATAATTATGATGAACCAATGACGTTTGATAAATAAATGATGTTTAATAAATTATTTTGAGATGTTTATGAGATGTTGTTGTTCTGAGATGTTTATGAGATGTTTTTGTTTTGAGATAATTGAGATTTGATTGAATACGTGAAGTGTTAGGCTTATTGCCAGTGATGCAGGGATGTAGGAGAATGCCTCATAATGAAGTTTGTGGTGAATGATATATATGTGGTGTTGTATGTTACATGAGTCTCATACATTTGCATTTTGTGAAGGCCTGTATCGGAGGATTTGTGAAGTAGGCTTATGCCTTGTGCCTCTATTAATTGGCAATTAGTGAAGATGGCTGAAGCCCTGTTGGTACCACATGCATATGCATAGTTGTGTCGCATTCGAATTGCATTTTGAATCGCTAATGATAATTGTGAATGTTTATTGATTGTTGTGTGTTGTTGAGAAGCAGTGAAGTTTATAATGCTCTTGTCTAATATATTAATTATCATAATCTTATTTATATTATTCGATGTCTCGCCCCTTTATTTGTTTCGCCGTTGCCTTTATACTGGTAATGTGCAGGTAACGAGGAGTTGAGGCTTAGTAGCTTGTTGGTGTCGTCGCTCTGATATGTAGTACTCGGGGGGGGGGGGAGGGGGGGATGAACGCTTATTTGATTTTATGGTGTTTTAAGTTTAATTCAAGTTGTTGTTTTAAGAAGTTGTTTTCTTTGAATTAGGTTGTTTAAAATATGCTATGTTTCCTTTGAAGTTTTAAAGTTATGAATCCGTTGCATATTTATGGAATCAAGTTGAAATACTTTTGAAGATTAATAAATTGTTCTAAGTTCTTTGGATCAATATGTGCTATGTATTTATTATGGTAGGTTTTTATGTTGTTGGTTTTTGGAATGAGAATGTAATGCTCCATGTTTGCGGAAATTTTGGCACTCTAATTTTAATATAACTGCGGGGTAGATTTGGGGTGTTACAATGGTCGGTTTTATGGTTGTCTTTCCTCTTCTTGGATGAATGGGAGTCTTGATCTCTTGCAGGAGGTGTGCGGTTGCATTTCTTCAAGAAAGAAATTTCGCGCCTCTTCTTTCTTGGTGGAAGGCCATGCCTGGGTGGTGATATACTGGGGGAGTTTTGTCGTTGGGTTCTCTGAGGAGGAGATCTTGACTGCCTGTTCTCCCAGGCCCATATCCTTTAATTCTGTTGTAGGATGAGGGTGTTGGTCTGATTGATAGCAGCGAGCAACACTGCCATGTTCGGGTCGGCGTTGAGAGGGATGGGAACTGGTTGCATGATTTTCGGAAGTTCCACGGTGGGATTCTTGGGGCGTCCCTTGTCCAAGAATTGGTTGTCGCTGTGCCGGGCGTCAGTTAAATCTGGAGACGCTGTCTGTCCGTCTCAGAAACCCAGGTTGTCCTCGAGGTGATGATGTTCCTGACTTCCTTCGATTTTGTGAGCATGGGAAAGAATAGTCTTTCTGGGTAGATGGAGATCATCATGGTCGGACATGATTAATGAAAGGAATCTTGAAAAGTTGCTTTGATCTTTGAATTTTGAGGAAAGAAAGATGGGGAGAGCAGTTTCCCACAGATGGTGCCTCTGATCTTACCGGTTGATCACAACCTGTGAAGTGGATGGAAGATGATCTTGTAGTCGGGTTGTCATGTCGAGGAGGAAAAAGGGGGTCGTACCTGCAAGGCACTTCGACGATAAGTAAGAGTGGGAACAAGGAGATACAGGCAAAGTATTAAGGTATTGGTGGTGAATAGTGAATATTCGATACCTGGCCCTCACATGTGTGAGGGTTTATATAATTCCCCTGGCATATGGTCATTGGTTCCTGATTTTACGCCTGGATATGCGGGTCCGTAAAATCCTGTAACTGCAAGGACTTGGTCAAACCGAGCAGATGTGTCTGTAACTAGCCGTTGGTTCCAAGGAGGAGGCAAGTTACGGGTATCTCTCTAGTCGGTTCCTGGTGTCCTACACGACTTTGATGTCGGGCAGGCTGTGAGATGCTCGTAGATTATCCTAGGCCAGTGCCGGCTTAGGAGGGCAAAGGGTCGATATTTCCCGACGGAGAGCGGGCGGTTCGGTCATGGTCATACGAACCATACCAGAGGAAATGGTTAAACTGGACCCATTCAAGCTGTTCGGTCAGTCCAAAACAAAATATAATAGCAAAAAAAAAATCCAAGATGCAATAAGAAGGTAAGTGAGGGCTTTAATGGTCTTCTGATCATTTGTAGACTTCATTTTCAGTTTATCAATCTTCTTCTTGTTCACTGTCTTCCCAAACTCATGCACAAAATTCTTCCCAAACTCTACTCCATAATTCCTCACAACCTTCATCATCTTCTCACTTTTTGTCCAATCTCCTCATACCTTGGTTCATCCCGATTGCCACTTTAAAGCTCATTGTCTCAGTAAAATAGATGCCAATCATCATCGTTCTGGAAAATAGATGAAACATATGAAGATTAAAAAAAACAAAAATCTGGAACACCATTAAATCAGTTATGAACAAGGGATATGGAGAAATTTAAACAACCCCCTCCCCCCCAATTTCTACACTTCTAATATCTTTTTCCTGGATTTGAGCTTGATTTCGAAACAAAAATTCTCATAGGGAGCTCGTGTCCATAAATTGGAGCTTTTCTTCTAATGGATTTGATCCCTGAACTTACGCTTCCTACCATATGTGAAAACTACGGATGACGGTTGAGGAAGAAGGCGTGTTGAAGACGATGTCGTGATGAGATGAACCCTAGATTTATATGTTGTGCAATACGAAGAAGAAGAAGATAAAGGAATTAGCAATTTAATCTGAATTATTTAATTTAAATTATTCCAACTGATATTTTGTAAATGAATAGATAAATTGAAATAAGTCCACGTGTTACAAATTTTAACTAAAAATGTCATCATGTCAATTCCACATCACCATTGTAAGTGATCAAATCCACTAAAGGACTGAAACGAGGAAATCTTTAAATTACATGGATGAAATCTATATTTTTTTACAGGATTATTTTTGGAATTCGCCCCATATAATAGGAGATAAAATGACTATTAACCCTTTAATTTAATTCGAATGGATTATAATTTCAACTCGAATAAGATTTAATAGGATCATTAGTGATAGGTTTGAGACAATATGTTTTATTGGTAATGGTTGTGCCAAAAATCAATATTTGTTTGTAAGAGATGTTCAGTTTAAATTCATGTAAGACTATGTATAGATTGATTGATTAAACTTACACATTCAAACATTAATAGATTAAAGAATTGAATATCAATTAAAACTTGTGATATATATCCCACTACAACAGTCGAAGTCAGTGAATCTGTTATCATAATTCAATTGTTTTATTTATTTAATTATAAACTCTTTTCAATTAAAAATCTCTTTTTAATTCTATTGGCGTTCTTTTCTTTATTATCTATCAAATTAGAGATCCTTAATATGATTAAGATTTAACTATTTTGTTACTCAAAAGAAAACCTTGGCATTTTCTAGAAGAATCCAATCCCTTGTCCATGGAGACACACGAGTTCAATTGAAAGCAGCAATTTAAAATGAAACAAGAAAACAAACTTTGTGTCTCACTCTAACCATTTATAACATGCCATCATCTTCTTCTCTCCCTCTCCGCAATTGCAACCAATTTCCATTCTTCCATTTCCTCCCACCAACAACAACAACTTTCAACAACAATCACTTTTCTCCAATCATAACCAAATCACAATCCATGTCCTCTTCTTCATCCAACAATCCCTCACAACAACAACAACAACCTCAAATCACAAACATTGAACAACAACAAAACAAACTCTCCCATGTCCTCAAATACCACAACCAAACCAAACACAATTTCAACAACTACGCAAGAGGCCCTCACGGTCTTGATTGGGCCAACCAACCCAACCCATTTCGCAGATACATCTCTTCCCCTCTTCTTCCCCTTCTCCATTTCACCCCTCAACAAGAACAACAACAATCACCCCTTTACTCATCTCTCTTCAATTCTCTCCCATCTCCAAAACCCATTTCCAAATCCACCATCTCTCAATTCCTCTATGATTCTCTCGCCCTCTCAGCTTGGAAAACTACTTCCTTTTCAACTTGGTCCTTAAGGGTAAACCCTAGTAGCGGTAATCTACATCCAACTGAAGCATATATAATAGCACCTTCAATTCAATCACTCTCTGATACACCTTTTGTTGCTCATTATGCTCCAAAGGAACATTCTTTGGAACTCAGAGCTCAAATCCCACCTGGGTTTTTCTCTAAATTTTTTCCACCCAATTGTTTCCTTGTTGGCTTTTCCTCCATTTTCTGGCGTGAGTCTTGGAAGTATGGTGAACGTGGCTTTAGATACTGTAACCATGATGTTGGTCATGCTATTGCTGCTGTTTCAATGGCTGCTGCTGGGCTTGGTTGGGATGTGAAGCTATTGGATTCATTAGGGTTTGAAGAGATCAAGTTTCTTATGGGAGCTCATGTTTTTCCGGAATTCAAAACGCCGCGGCGTGCTGTTAAAGGTAAGATTCCTGAGATTGAGTTTGAACATCCTGATTGTGTAATGCTTGTTTTTCCGAGCGGGGTTAGTGGTTTTGATTTGGATTATAGAGAATTGAGTGATGCTATGTTGGAGTTTTCGAAGTTGGAGTGGAAAGGGAAACCTAATTCGCTTAGTAAAGAACATGTTTGTTGGGATGTTATTTATAAAACTTCTGAAGTTGTTAAAAAGAGTTTAACTTTAGGAGATAGGTTTTTGGTTGATCCATTTCAAAGAAGTGGAATTTGTAATGAATCTGAAAGTGGAAGTGTTTACAAGGGTTTAACTGTGAGGGAAGTTGTTAGGAAGCGTAGAAGTGCGGTTGATATGGATGGAGTTACTGGAATGGAGAGGGAAACATTTTATCAGATTTTGTCACATTGTCTTCCATCTGGTTCAGAAGGTGGAAAGAAGCAGGGGAAACAACTCTCTTTGCCGTTCCGAGCGCTTCCTTGGGATGCCGAGGTTCATGCTGCTTTGTTTGTTCATAGAGTGACGGGGTTACCTCAGGGATTGTATTTCCTTGTGAGGAATGAAGATCATTTTGCTGAGTTGAAGAAAGCTATGAATCCTGACTTTGTCTGGACCAAACCGGAGGGTTGTCCTGATGAGCTTCCTCTATATGAACTCCTTAGGTCGGATTGTCGGAAGCTTGCTAAGCAGCTTTCGTGTCATCAGGTATGCAACTGGTTGTGATTGTCTGTGTGCCTTTTAAATTTGTTGCATCCCATCTTTGAAATATGACTTGTACTTGCAGGACATTGCAAGTGATGGTTGTTTTAGCCTTGGTATGTTGGCCCGTATGGAACCTACTTTGCGTGAGAAGAACGTTTGGATGTATCCGCGCTTGTTTTGGGAAACTGGAGTTCTTGGACAGGTGTTGTACCTTGAAGCTCATGCAGTTGGAATCTCAGCGACTGGAATTGGCTGCTTTTTTGATGACCCTGGTATGATAGTTTTTCCTCGCGATTTGCTTCGAGATTTTTTGTCTAGTTTTTTCCTTGTATTCTGGAATTAGTTTAGTAATAACAAAAATGTTGTGTTGTTTTGCAGTGCATCAGTTACTTGGGTTAAAAGGGTCAACCTTCCAAAGCCTATATCATTTTACTGTCGGAAGTCCTGTCGTGGACAAGCGTATAATGAGCTTACCGGCCTATCCAGGCCCCGAAGATGTTGCGTGACTTCACATTGCTATTCAACGTTAAGGAGAAGTGATCTTGCTCCCTCCCTAAACACTTAGATTGTAATAACACACCTTTGTATATGCTATTCCTCTGCATAGATAGAATTTTGCGCTCACACACATCCACGCATTTGATATTTTTTTTACCGAAATTGTAGGGCATGAGCTGAGAATCCCATCTACTTGTAATTTTGGTCATGAAAACTCTAATTTAGTCCATGTTTTACCTATTGGTGTGACATAATTACTTGTTAATATAGTTTGTTTTTCTTTGAGGTTGAACCATCAGCTTCTTTGTATTTTTCAACTTATTTTGTTTCTTTTGAGGTTGAATCAGCAACTCCTCTGATATCGCACTAAGCCTGTTTCCATAGCTCTTCTATTCTCTTCGTCCCTCATGTTACAGATACCAGTTTTTCATTTTCTTTGCCCCTATCTTGTTTTAACAAATCTCAGATTATTCATGACATAATTTACAACAAAAAGATAATTGTTATTTGTTGTTGCTACATGTTGGTAATAGTTCTGGTTGAGAAGATAGATGAGGAGTACAATGTGAGTTTTTGAATATATATGGATCACACCGAAACACATTCAAATTGAAGTGTCATATTTTTTCTAAAATTTAGTTTCGGAAATATTTTCAGGAATTTTTTGGAAGTATATTTTTAGAATCTATTTAAATGATATTAGTTCAATGATGTCCATTCTAGTGGTGTTAAATGACTAATGTTAATTACTTTTTACTTTATCAATGGTTTGCTCTGCGTTGAAGTGACAATTCTTAGCCGTTGCAACCGACAAATCCTTGGGTTGCTATTTTTTTTTTTAGGTTCTTTTAACATTAAATTAAATGATATGGCAAGAGAAATCTAAACTTTTAATGGGAATTGAACAAGATCAATGAATTATTTTATAAATATAATATTAGTGTAAGTATGTATTTAAAGTTGTTTGGAAATCAATATTTGTTGCAGTCGACAAAATAGTATTTAGACATTTATATATAGTGATGATTTAAATATTTTGAAAATATATTTTTAGAGACATTATGAAAATACATTTCTAAAATAAATTTAGTGGAATGTAACGCAAAAACAATTAAATTATAGATGTATGAGGTGTGTCCGGGAATAAATTTCTGAAATTTGAGGATATTTTTTTGTTAAACGTAAATTTGTTTCGGATAGGGGTGTTCGCGGTTCGGTTTGGATCGGTTTTAAGATAAAAAATCATCTGATCCAAAGATAAATTTACTTGCGGTTCGGTTCGATTTTGAATGATATATTAAAAAAATCCAATCTGATCCGATCCAATTTTATGCGGTTTAATTTGGGTCGGTTTTTAGATATCTAAATTACACATTATATTTTTATTAATATTATAAAACTACTAATAAATCATAGATTTGATATAATATATAACATATAGTATATTAAAAGTTAATATTACAAAATGAGAGTGGTTGATTATGATTGAAATAATAAAAATAAATAAATTATACCAAGCTAATAACTATTATTAAAAAAATTATTATCATCTAATAATAATTTCACATAGCATATCATGCTAATAAAAAGTAAATAAGTATAAAAATATATGTATGCAGTTTGGTTTGGTTTGGATCGGTTTTGAAAAATTAATCCGAAATCTGATTCGAACTGATCGATTTTCACAAAATAACATCCAAACACACCAATAAATTTCGGTTTTTTGTGATTTTCGGTTTTTTGGATTGGTTTTCGGTTTTTTATTTGGATTGGTTTGGATTTGAACACCCCTAGTTTCGGAGATACATTTACGTAAAGTATTCGGAGATGTATCTCCGTCTTTAGTGCAGACAGTAAATTCTAATTTTTTAAGTGATTCTCAGATCAAATTGTTAGAATGGATACTATGATTCGACAATACTAAGGCTATGAAGAAAATGACATATATAAAGTTATAAGTCAATAGTATATTAATCCAATCTAAAAGTTATAATAAAGTCAATAAATAAAATACAATCTAAAGTGTATCAAGAGTACAAGTACTACAATCTACTGCGTATGACAGATTCAGACGGTCTTGGCCTCGTGCTCCTATGTTCTTACACTGCCTCTTGTACTACAGAACCTTCACCATCATAGCGTCTACAACGCCCCTCGCCTTAGAGCTATCCAGAAAGATTCCTCCGTCAATACCCATATGCCTAATCTGCGTGATACGACGATGTCTATGAAAGACATCAACAACATAATAAGTCTTAGCCCGCTCCTCCTCTAGTATCTTCTGATGAGCTGGCCTAAGTGGATCTTCTAAAGTATAAGGTACAATATAAAGATGTGACATCTGAAATATCCATCAAATGTAACGTCTATGTAGCTCCAGTTGTTCTCATATGTGGTACTTTGTGTCTCATATGGTACCAAATGATTAACATAATCATCAAACATATCATTTATATCTCTACGTTTTATAGTGGGAGGAACATACATAGAAGAATCTCTGGAAATGTATTGCATGTAGATGAACGGATGCATGACGTGCTTAGGTAGATAATGAGACGTCAGGTGTGACCCACAAACCAACCATCTAGAGTATAAGACAATGTCATCAAAAGAAATTATCTCATTGTGATCGACGTAAGTATGAAAGTTCATATTCTCTACTACCATGCGGCCAATATACACTCTGAATGACTTTGTCGTCTGGTTCCCTTTGAGTGGGAAGAATGCAGAAACATGTGTCAATTACTCAGTATAAGTCGGTAGACATGATCAACCAGAGATATATGGGAAATGTCGAAGGATCCAAGCCTGAAAAGTGTTGGAACACACAAATCATTAATTAGTAACGGCTTTGCAATAATGTAATGGTTGAAAAAACCATACAAGCACTAAAAGAATAAGAAGTACAAGTAGGTCATGCTCATAACATGTATTTTAAACTTCAGATAACCTTCAGATAACTTAGAGTACAAGTAGGTCAAACAAGCAGCCTCAATTGTACTCATGGATCCGGTCAAAGTCCTCGAAGTATCGCAGGTGATGATGAAATACCTCCTAAATTCCCGCGCAATAATGTGGCTTAATTAGAGTAAATTAGCATGCATATTAAAAGATGGTGTCACATGTATTTCAAATCCAACACAAATACACCGGTCATGCTCATAACACGTATTTTAAAATCATGTTTCATAGACATATGCATATCACAGTGGAATAATTCTCTTTCATAATGATACCAATAATTGAAATCCCATAATGATAATTATAAAATAAAACATTAGGCACTAAAGGTCACTCATCACATAATCTCAATACATCATAAATAAAGAGATTATAACAAACATCTCTCCAAAACAAACACGAGTTCAAACGTTTCGCCGTGTTACATAATCAGAACATGACTTACTACCTAAAAACAGATAAATAAAGAACTAGCTCCTCCAACTAATCCTTGCGAGAAAACATCACTACTCTTCGATACCTGAGCGATGTCGTATAAAATATCATTCCAACAAAAGGGTGAGAATTCGCATCATTATGGAAATATATAATAATATGTAATGCATAATACACATACATCAATTGAACTCATCACACTTCACATATTCATGTACTCAACATTATCCAATCTAATTCACATGTTTACATATACAATATTACTCAACAATCCATGATTCAATTAATAATCAATCACAAAATACCATAAATGTAACATTCACATCAATATCACATTTACACTCTAACTCAACAATTCACATCGACACATGTGACTCAAATGCAACTCAATACTATGTAAGATGCATGTGGTACCAATTGTTATTCTTACGAATATTTTACATTTAAACCCGGTCCACATCTCCAAGACATATAACCATCAAAAAGTTTGTTCTCTATGCTTTCAAACCCCCATCTCCAGGTTTGATACAAGTCATTAACTCTCGCAAAAGCTAGCAAATATTGTCTCTTGACAACTTATGATGCATGTGCAAATCTCAACATTAATATGCAATTAAGATCATCTTCATATCTTAATAATATAGGCATATTTCACATAATTCAACACATTTGAATTATCTCACCAAATTGCACAACATACATGCATCATGTCAATATTCATATATGAATCACTTTCATAGTATTCATCAATTCAACACATCACAATAACACATAGCAAACAATGTCAAACAATGTTATTCCCATCCAACATCAATTCTCAATATACATATACACGCATACATGTCATTTTACACAACCACACAATGATTAAATCACCTACTGGCAATAAAATATAACTCGTAAACTCAAAACAACTCTATTGACAACTCTAACAACTCTATCGAAATTGAAAAGAATTTAAATTAATTCGTTAATCTAATTGTTTATCTCTAATTTTAAAACTCTTAAAATTATTATCTTAATAATATTAAATTATTATTATTATTATTATTATTATTATTATTATTATTATTATTATTACTATTATTACTACTATTACTATTACTATTATTACTACTATTATTATTACTACTATTATTATTACTATTATTATTATTATTATTATTATTATTATTACTATTATCACTATTATTACTATTATTATTATTATTACTATTATTACTATTACTATTATTACTATTATTACTATTATTATTATTATTATTACTATTATTACTATTATTACTATTATTACTATTATTATTATTATTATTATTATTATTATTATTACTACTATTATTATTATTACTACTATTACTATTATTATTATTATTATTATTATTATTATTATTATTATTATTATTATTATTATTATTACTATTACTACTATTATTACTATTATTACTATTATCATTATTATTACTATTATTACTATTATTATTACTATTATTTCTATTATTACTATTATTACTATTATTACTATTATTATTACTATTATTCCTATTATTATTACTATTACTATTACTACTATTATTATTACTATTACTACTATATTACTATTATTACTATTATT